ACGTCCACTTTAAATGTCCTAATAAACAAAGTAAAATGACTTCATTGCTATGTTTTTATTTTAAAGCTTAATTATTCGTCTGCAAATAAAACGGATTTACTTTCATTTTTATCAGTATCACTGGAGCTGAAAGTAAGGTAAGCTAACTTTAGCGGCTAACAGACAGCTGAACTTTGCAGTAGCTTTAACTAAAGCGGTTGATTACCACGTATGTTGTACCTAATAGCTTCTAAATAGCAGCTATTAACTGAACTGTAATCTGACTTAAGGCTGGTTAAAATCGACCCACACTACACTGGCCTCCACTGTACACAGCTGTGTGGAATACCTTTCCTCAAATTCAGAGTTTTTTTTTTTTAAAGAAGTTTGTAGTGAATGGTTGAACACATGCCGAATTGAATTTTAACTATATCAGTCGGTCCAGAGTTTGGCTCAGCATCTATCTGGTCTCCAGAAGTCCTGATCATAACGTGCCCTTTTTCGTGAGGACACACCTCCGCGCTTTGAAGTTAGTTGTTGTGAGTCTGTGGTCTCCTTCACCTATGTGTCTATGTCTTCAGGTGAGGCATCTTGTTGGCCTCCAGCTTCTTCTGCTGTGTTAAAACATGGAGTTGGCATATGTCTGTGAGTGGGAGAAACGTCCAAGGAGCACTCACTGTCCCTCCATACCTCTGGTCTGCTCCTGGTCCTGCCGGAACCTGGTGGCCTTCACCACAGACCTGAAGAATGATGATGATGACAAAGGTATACACCTGCAGCACAGACACTGACCCACAACAAGCATGTTGTCATTTGTTTGTGTAGACTGTAGTTCAGATTGTTTATCCTAAAATTCGTGAATGGAGTTTTGGGTTTAACCTCTGTGTGTGTGTGTCAGATGTCAGTCACATGATCCACATTATCGACACTGAACACCCCTGGGATGTTTACTCCATCAGCTCTGGACACACTGAGGTCATTTCGTGCCTGGAGTGGGACCAATCAGGTGAGGTTTACACTCAGTGGGACTGAATGTGAATCGGTGGACTAAAGCCTTCAGCCTCTGTTTGTGTGTTTATTACAATGATGTTTGTGCTTTTATTAGTGTATGTAGTGATGTCTGTGTGTGTGTGTGTGTTTAGGTTCGAGGACGCTGTCAGCAGATGGAGACGGGCAGATTAAATGTTGGTCGATGTCGGATCACCTGGTCAACAGCTGGGAGAGCATCCTGTCCAGCTCTCTGGATGGAGATCCAATCGTGGCCCTGAGCTGGCTTCATAACGGAGTCAAACTGGCCCTACATGTTGAGATGGTAATGCTGGCTGATGTTTCTAAGTATAAGTAGGTCATAGCTATATGTTGTATAATAAGGTATTAAGCTAGCGGTGGTATTTATCAGATAATATGATTGTCAGATTGCATGTGGCCATCTCTACAGGTGAATAAGTCCATTGTGTGTCCCTGTTTTCTCTTGGTTCAGTCGGGTTCCACAAACTTCGGTGAGAAGTTCTCTCGGGTGAAGTTCTCTCCGTCTCTGACTTTGTTTGGGGGTAAGCCGATGGAGGGCTGGATGGCGGTGACAGTGAGCGGTTTGGTGACGGTGTCACTGTTGAAGCCGGGCGGTGCTCTGCTGACGGCCAGTGAGAGTCTTTGCCGGCTCAGAGGTCGGGTGGCGTTAGCCGACATCGCCTTCACCGGAGGAGGGAACATCGTGGTGGCAGCAACCGATGGCAGCAGCTCGTCTCCAGTCCAGTTCTACAAGGTGAGAATCAGAAGAACTCCGCACGTTATTTTGAACTTCCTGATCAGCTTTTTTTTTACTTCTTAACAGACAGAATTCAGCAGATATAAATGGAGTTAAGTCGATGTATTGGTTTCAAAGACAGGCTCACCTCAGGGTTATGCCCTTCCCCCCTTCTGTTTATCTTATACACGAACAGCTGCAGGTCAGTGAAAGAGAATGGTTTTCTATCAAAATCCACAGATGACACAGTACATATTGTATGTCTCTCCTTAAAAATTCAGAGAGACCACGAATATGCTTTGCCTGCTCTTGTTGATTGGTGTATGAATAACAATCTGGATCTGAACATATCAGAAACGAAAGAAGTGATTACAGACTTTGGGAGAAATAGTGACAGAGATAAACCAAGCACCATAAATGGTGTTGATGTCGATACATAGTAGTATCTTGGAACTGTGTTTGATTGCAAATTGAAATTTGATGCAAATACAGAATTGATTGTCAAGGCTAGACAACAGAGAGTACAGCTGCTAAGCATGCTTAATTTTTTTTAATGTTTGTAACGACAATTTAATCGTGTTTTATCGGCCTGTTATTGAAAGCCCTTTGACATTATCCCTTATCTGCAGGTTTGGTGGGTTATCTGTGAAGGACAGCAACAGTCTTAGCAGTATAGTTAAAATCTGATCTAAGATCATTGGTGTAAAGCCGAAGGATCTGCGCTCATTAGACAATCTGATCATGTCTTTTCAAATGAGTTTATGTTAATGCCATCAGGGAGGCACTACAGTGTACCCTTAGGAAGGAAAAAATCGATATTCTCGTTCTTCTGTTCCTCCTGCCATCATGCTGCAAATTGTTGGCTTTAGGAATTTTACATAATCATCTTTTATGTCTTGTTCTCTTGTATTTTATTGCCTGTTTTTTTTGTTTGTTTCTCTGTTTGTTTGTTTGTTTTTGTGTGTGTGTATTTAGTGATTAGTGTTCAGTATAGTTCCTTACCTTATATGTTTGTTTGTTTGTGAATAGTTTACTGTAAAACTAAATTGCCCTTTGGGACAAATAAAGGTGTCTGAATTCCACCACCAGCATCAAACAAATACAGTGCATACAAGTTCACATGTTCTGTGTTTAGGTGGTGGTGAGTGTTGTGAGTGAGAAGTGTCGCATCGACACTGAACTTTTGCCATCTCTGTTCCTGCGCTGCACCACTGACCCCATGAGGAGAGACAAATACCCTGCTGTCACCCACCTCAAGTTCCTCACCAGGGAGAACTCTGAACAGGTAAGCAGTAGAACTCTGAACAGGTAACCAGAAGAAGCAGTAGAACTACACTTTATTTGAGTTTTATTTCAGGAGTCATGCCCTGACAGATCTGAGACCAGTAGAACATGAATCACAGATCAGAGACACCAGTCACACAGAACCACCTGCAGAACCAGACAGCTGTGCTCATGTTGTGCAGGTTCTCCTCTGTGCATCCAATCAGAGCGGCAGCATTGTGGAGTGTTGGTCTCTGAGGAAGGAGGGACTTCCTGTCAACAACATCTTTCAGCACCGATCACCTGTCGGTAAGAAACAAACATCCTGGTTAAGCTGGTCATACTGGTGTGACTGTTGATGCATGACCTTTGGCCTCTCTCTGACCAGTTGGGGAGAAGCAGCCGACCATCCTGAAGTGGAGGATTCTGACCACCACCAATGACCTGGAGCGGGTGTCGGCTGTCGCTCTGCCCAAACTGCCCATCTCCATCTCCAATACTGACCTGAAGGTGGCATCAGACACGAAGTTCTGCCCCGGTCTGGGTGAGAAGAAGTGGTGCGGGTCATCTGTAGCTGTACACCCAGTGTCCACTTTATTAAGTACACCTCTCTAACACTGTGTAGGACCTTCTATGTTCCAGAGGTCCAGTTGCATGTGGACCCAACAGCCTCTCATAGTTGCTGCAGGTTCATGCTGAAGAGCTCCTGCTCCACCACCTCCCAAAGCTCTGTAGGCACAGTGTGTGGGCAGGTGTTTCATAATGTTCCTGCAGTAAATGTCTCATTTGTTTTTGTTTTGTTTTCTACAAACAGACACAAAGTCTCCTGCTTCAGTCATCAGAACAAAACTTAACAGCTGTGTTGTAAAATATCTGATTTTGTGATTAAAAAGTCAAAGCTATGACAAAAAGCCTGTGGACATGAAAAGGTTAGAATAGTTGAGGTAGGTCTCCACTACAACTCCCGTGGTGCATTTCACTAACAAAAAGTCCAATCACAGAGCCTAAACACAGTCTGGTGCTTGTTCTGCGTCAGCTGCGAGTGAGTTTAGTTACCATGGCGACATGGTTCACACTTCTACTTGGCCTTTTCTCCATGGCAACACTAGCTGAGACTAGTTGGTATTGTAGTATGTAGACCTCTCTGCCAAGGTGAAATAATTCAGACTGGAGGTCAGAACATAAAAGCATTTCTGTGTAAAGCTAACTGTTGTGTGTAACCATTCAGATATCAATATCCAATACACATTTATTCCAGAAAGATCTTAAACTGATCAGTCATCACATCAGAGTGTCAGGCTCAAAATATCTGCTTCCC